AAGAGAATCCACTAAAATATATATATATATAATATATATATATATATATAATATATATATATATATATATTTAGTTGATTTTCTTGGGTTTAGGTTCATAAAAAAGATTGATTTGATACTAAAACATTTTCATATATTTTGTCGACGTTTCGGCAGGAAATCCATGCCTTTTTCAAGAAATAATATTGACTAAAAAAACATTTTATGACAGACATAATACGGTTTAAAAGTTATACTTTTGACTTACCAAGCATGTTAAAATATAACTTTTATATAGAGGTAAGTCAAAAGTATAACTTTTAAACCGTATTATGTCTGTCATAAAATGTTTTTTTTAGTCAATATTATGTCTTGAAAAAGGCATGGATTTCCTGCCGAAACGTTGACAAAATATATAAAAAAGTTTTAGTATCAAATCAATCTTTTTTATGAACCTAAGCCCAAGAAAATCAACTAAAAAACATATATTAAGGTTCAAGACCTAAACTCAATATATATGTATGTATACATATATATATATATATATATATATATATATATATATACATATATATATATATATATATATATATATATATATATATATATATATATATATATGTATATATAGTAAACTCTTAAATATTGGGGAAATCTGCAAGAAAAACTCTAATGAGTATCAATTGTTTCGACGAACGTTTTCGCCAAAGAGAATTAATTTGGCTTCTTCAGAACTGAAAGAGAACATGTAAATTATAATTAGCTACCATATATTATCTATTAAAAAACATTTGATCTTACCGTAACTTAGAATTATTGAGTTAAGATGTTAAAAAACTTAGCTAGTAACAACATATTGGTGTTTTTTGTTACTATGTGCAAAAAAAGTTTTTTTAACGTTGGAAATGTATGGTAGCTTTAAACTTAAAACGCAAAGGTTTACCCAAGGTTAATCGAAAAACCAAATGTAACTACATTTAAAAGGAAGTAATTCTTTCAATTGTCAGCAATAACTAAATTTTTGTTTGTTAGAAAGTTTAAATGTGAGCTTCTGTTCAAAATCAGAACGCATGTGCCGACAATTCAAGTAGTATTTTTGAATCTTTATGTCGTTAAGGTTCATTGGTAAAACCGAATGAAGTTAAATCCTAGTTTGGGAAAATATTTTAGATTTTCTTAATTGAAATTATTTTTTAATTATATTATATTGTTTATGTATTATTGTAATAATATCCTATTGAGATGTATCTAAGAAAAGCAATGGAATGTTATATTTTTTAGTTAATGAAAATTATTATTAAATAGGTTAGTTGTTAATGGATATATCAGTCAAGTTAGTTATCTGTGATGTTGTATTGTTCTTTGTATCTGATTTAAGTAAGAAGTGGTATATATCGCTTAATTTCTTAATGCCACTCTTAACTTTGATATAGAAATCGTTAAGGAAAATATACGACATTTCAATGAACTCTCTTTTAGATTTATTGTTCTGACGGTGGAGAATTGTAGTGTTAGTATAGTCCATGAGATGACCAGTGGAATGGACATGTTTGGCTAATACACAGCGGTTAGGGTGAAGTCGAGAATCACTTTTGTGTAGTGTAATACGTGATTTTAATAATTGAGATGTTTTACCGATGTAGGAATTGCTGCAAGAGAGGCATAGAATATTGTAGACAATGTTACTAAACCTATCTATGGGAGTCTTATCTTTTATCTTAGAATAAAGATTATTAATTATTAGGGCTCATCTACAAGCCACATTAAGTTTAATGTTGTTATTATTATTACCAAAGCTATTTTCAACACTTTTCAGAATCCTTGTTAACCCCGGAGTGATATCTCTGAAATATGGTAATGAAAAATATTTGTTGATAGGAGTATCCGAGACTGAGTTCCCACTTAAGACATCGGGATCGGTATTGTTCGTCGCGAAGGAAGGTTAAGTATCTTCGTTATGGATAGTGTTGAACAAAATCTTATTTACTAATGGTGCTGGATAAGCGTTTGAAATAAAAAGTTTCTGTAAGATTTGTAGGTTTTTTGTATGAAATGAAAGATCTGATAGTTGTATTACTCTACTTTTCATCTGTTTGATTAAGTTGACTTTGGTAGAATTATTATGGTAAGAGTGGTAGTTAAGGTATCTAGCAGAATGGGTCGGTTTTTGATGTCAATCTATTTTAATGTTGTTGTTTTCCCTGATCATCCTTATGTCGAGAAAGGGACGGACCAATTACCATCTTCCCTCTCTATAGTGAACTGGATGTAGGGGTCATAACTATTGAACGTGTCTAATAGTTCATTTACCTTGTCATTGGGTATAGCCAAAATGATATCATCAACATATTTTTTAATAAATGGAATTTGAAAGGATAGTAAAGGAATGACTGAGTCTAAGTTGCAATGATAGAAGAAATCTTTGCTCCCGTTGGGGTACCGAAAGTTTGTTGATAGAATTTACCATTAAATGAGAAGTAAGTGTTGTTAAAGAGAAATTCGACGATGGTGATGAATATGTCATAAGACATGGAACAACAACCTCTAATACGGTCCCAGTTGATCTCTATTGATGTCAAGCATATTCCTAGATGAACATTGCCGAATAAGGATATAACGTCAAGGCTAACGAGGACATAATTTGATGGTAGTATGTAACCATTATTTAAAAACAATAGAGGACTGCGCCAGGGAGATGCGCTATCGTGCACGCTGTTCAACCTAGCGTTAGAAAAAGTTATAAGAGATTCGGGAATAAACTTATAAGGTACGATATATACCCGTAGTATACAAATAATGGCATACGCTGATGATATCGTCATAATTGTAAGAACCCAAAATGAAGCAGTGGAGGCTTTCACACGTATCAAAAATTCCGCAGAAAACGTCGGACTTCTGATTAACATCCAGAAAACTAAATATATACCTAAAACGGTAGAAGAATTCTGCTACTTAGGATCACTGGTAGACTGCAAAAATAACACATCCAACGAGATAAAAAATAATATGCGTGGCTAACCGCTGTTATTTTGGCCTGAGCCCTCAACCAAGAGCGAGAAATATGTCAATAGCAACAAAGTGCAAACTTTATAAAACAATAATACGCCCAGTGCTCACATACGGATCGGAAACTTGGGAAATGACGACCCGTGATGAAGAGTTACTACGAGTCTTTGAAAGAAAAGTATTGAGAACCATATATGGCGGAGTAAACGAACAGGGTCTGTCAAGAAGTCAATATAACTTTGAACTCTATAGACTAATTGGTGATGCAGATATTGTGAAGACCATCAAAATAAACCGCCTAAGGTGGGTGGGCCACGTTATGCGGATGAATGAGAGTGATCCCACTAAAATATCTATGCTAAACAGGCCGGTCGGAAGAAGAAGAAGGGGCGACCTAAACTCAGATATCTGGACGATGTACAGGATGATCTGAGGGAGATTGGAGTGAGGGGCTGGAGAAGACAGACACTCGATAGGGAAGGATGGAAGAATGTTTTGAAGCAGGCCAAGGCTCAGGAAGGGCTGTAGCGCCAACTAATGATGATGATGATGTAACCATTATATTTATTTACCATCTCAAAGGCATATTTAATGTAATATTGAATTTCATTATTATATGCATTAGTATGTCTGTAACAAAAACTGGGATATTTTCAGTAGGAGTTCCAATGGAAGCTACTATAGGACGAACCGATATTGTTGGTTTGTGGATTTTTGGCAAAGCATAAAACTTTGCAATGTTCTTATTATGTTAGTTTTCCAATCAGATTGACCGTAACATAAAGAAAAAACTAACAACATATAATGGGAACATTGCAAAGTTTTATGCTTTTTTTATACCAACACTATTGGTTCGTCCTATAGTAGCTTCCATTGGGACTCCGACTGAAAATATTTCAGCTTTTGTTATAGACATACTTACTAATGCATAAATTATGAAATTCAATATTACATTAAAGATTCTTTTGATATGGTAAATAAATATAATGGTTACATACTACCATCAAATTATGTCCTCGTTAGCCGTGACGTTGTATCCTTATTCAGCAACGTTCATCTAGGAATATGTTTGACATTAATTCGTCGAATTTCTCTTTAACAACACTTACTTCTTATTTAATGGTAAATTCTATCAAAAAACTTTTGGTATCCCTATGGGAGCAAAGATTTCTCTTATCATTGCAGCTTACGTTATTGATTATGTGTTAGACTCAGTCATTCCTTTACTATCCTTTCAAATTCCATTTATTAAAAAATATATATATATATTTCTTATAATTTAACTTTAAATTAAATTGGCAGTTCTCAATCTTCATATGCTTTGGACATAATCATTATATCATCTAGATATACTAGACATGTTTCCAAGGTATATATATATATATATATATATATATATATATATATATATATATATATATATATATATGTATATATATATATATATATATATATATATATATATATATATATATATATATATATTATATATATATATATATATTATATATATATATATATAACCACTTATGGAATAATATTGTAACGAACTATATCATGTAGGGTCTATTATGAATAATACGAGGTGAAATTTTGAAACGAGGTAACTTCTTTTTGTCTAGTTAATGGCAATCATCGTGGGACTTGACGAATTGGTCTTGCATCTCCAGTATACATTCTATGTTAAACTAAACTAGTACGCTCTGTAGATTTCTCGGATTTAAAAATGTCTTAGTTTTCATTAATAAATTCGTCAATTTTGTTAAAATTTTCAGTTGTTATGTAATTAACATTTTTGATTAGATTTTTCAATAGGCTAGCGTCAATTGGGTAACTTGAAACTGTATTCTTTTTCAAATATTTTTTGCCCTTGCTTTATTTTTATTAGTTTATAAAATGTTATTTGTAGTTCTTTCTTTAATTTAAAAGTCTTATTAGACAAATTAGCAATCCTTACTGGAATCATCTCATCTTCCTTAACGAGCCACCTAAGCTATCAAAATTTAGTCACTCACGATTCCTCGCATTCCACAACGCCGAAATGTAGACCTTCAGGTTTTTGACTCAGACTCGTCAGGACGATACTTTTAGATTTTTGGGGAATTTCTGTATCTTCATCCACTATAACTCTTACTTGAGATATCGATTCTTCCAAATTTAGGACAACTTCTTCATTTTCAATAAAGACAATTTTCTTTTGAAGATGTGTGATAATTTTTTTTGCGTAATATACATTCCAAGCATAAATATCTTTAATATCGGCTACAAAAAATGGGTATTTCCTCTAGGTGTTAGCAATTTGTATGGTTGCTGCTATCTCCGTGAATTGGAATAGTGTGACCTGAAGCTGTTTCAAGAACAAAGTTTGTCTTTGTTGGCTGTAGTTTCCCATTCTAAAATCCGGTTCAACTAAAGGATCTGGTTGCACCGGTATCAATAATAAAGGAGCATTTTTGATAATAAGCGTAGCTCTTAAGTAATCAATTCTGTTCATTTTTATATAAAGTGTAAGTGCGAATTTAGGGGCTTTTATTAGATACAGCCGACGCTCGCTCCTTAGTGTTGACTTTTATTCGTTTCTCTTACTATTTTTTGGATATCTGTGGTCAGTTGTATGAGATCAATTTCTTAGAGACCTATCTCTGCTAATATTTCTAGTAAAGCCATGTGACGGGCTGCTGGACATCGATCTAGGCGACCGCGACCTTCTTACCTGATTTTTTGATAATTCTTCTCTTCGGTGGGATCGGCTTCTGCAATTTTTTTTTTCCAAATGTCCCATTATTCCACAATTAAAACATCTTCTGTGTTCATTTCGAGTTTTTTGTTAAAGATTTTGCAGTATGTCTAACATTTGGGATAAAATGTGTTGTCGGTTGTCTGCTGTTTTGAATTCTTCATCTTCTCAAAATCTTTTTTTCTTTTACCAACATACTCACCTTTTCAGTAACGTTTTAGAAACGTTACTACCTGACTTGACAATTTTAAGTCCAATATTTCACGAAAAAATGGTTTTTCTTAAAAACATGATTACTCAAAGCGAAGTCAAAACCTAAAAACCACAGAAAATACATAAAGCTCCCGCGGAAATTTAATCTAATGCGGAATTGATGAGGTATGATCTAATATTGTAAATTTTATATTAGTAAAGTAAATCGGTGTGTAAATATCTTTCAATTCCATCCCTGTGCGGATACACGTACATCCAAAGGGAGGATTTCGCGTTAAAACATCAAAAAAGGGCATGTCAATCATGTAATATTGAATTCAGACAGTGCGAATTTTCCTATGCTATGCTATGCTATAGTGGTAGTACGTAGACGAGCGTTCAATGGAATTTTAAAATTGTAGGTAGATGACATATTTCGCTCACACCGTTCCTCCGTTTTATATTTGTACTTCGATTTTTCATGCAAGAACGTTGCAGTATTATTTAAGTAAAATGCTATATTTTAATAAATTTTATTAAAAAATATCGTAATATGGAAATAATTCACGTTTGTGTTTATCATAAATATTGTATAGTCAATTCAATTTAACTTATTTAGTTAAAATTTAGTTAAAATTGATTTATGTATTTCTGTATATTTTTCGTTCTCTTCTTCTTCATGTACCATGTCCTTTCAGAACGTTGGTTACCATCATAGCTACTTTAATTTTATTCATTGCCACTCTAAATAGCATGCTTGTATCTACACCATACCAATCTCGCAAGTTCTTCAACCATGAGGTTCTTCTTTGTCCTGGACTGCGTTTGCGTGCTATTTTTCCTTGCATGATATTTTGTAGCAATCTATATTTGGGACCTCTCATTACATGTCCGAAATATTCCAGCTTTCTCTGCTTGATGCTTTTTATTTTATTTTTCTTTATTTATATTTATAATTTTATTTTATTTTTCGTTGTACTATCTAAAATAAATTGTTGACCTGTTTTCTTTGTATTGTTTACCCATATGTCTGATTTACTTCTAGTAGATATCATTTCCCTATTTTTTTTCTTTTCCGTTTGTTTTTGTTTCTGACAAAGTAAGAATGATTCAAAGAACCACGCCCACATCTTTTCCGATTCTGAGCAACGCGGCTCGTTCATTTTGTTTGCTTCAAACATCATTAAGGTTTGTTGTGTTATAATCATCGTTGGGGATGACAATTATACAGTGTACCAAAACTTTTGGAAAAATAATAAAGGAAAAAATTTTTTTGGTTTCGATTCTGTCACTTACAGCGTGGTATAGACAATTCCATATAGTCAATGTTTAAAAATCGCAAAATTCAGAAACCATATGCCTATATTCCTGTTTCATTTAAAACGTAACAAAGGAAAATACAAAAACCTACCCTTCTCATCCAGGGGCCTGCCCGGACATTAATAAACTATCACAAACACAAAAGACAACCCGCAAAGTGAAGAGAAAAAATATAACGTTTTGAACATATAATAGGATTTTTATTCACTCGATCCCAGGACTGATATCGTCCCCAGCATCTTCCTCAGGTCTTTTTGGTTTTATTCTTCTACTTTTCCCAGGAACTTCAGAAAATTAGCAATTCTTCGTATTGACTTCCCTTCTTCTTCTTAACATGCCATACACCAAAGTGCGTAGGCGACTATCTCATTACTAGAATTCTGTTCTTGGCGGCGTGACACAGCTTACCTGTATTGTGTATTCCTGTCCATTCTTTAATATTCCTTAACCAGGACAATTGTTTGCGGCCGGCTCCTCTCCTACCTTCGATCTTCCCTTGTAGGATTAACTGTGGTATTTCATATTTTGCTCCTCTCAATATGTGCCCAAGGTAACCAATCTTGCGTTTTTTAATTATTTCAAAGAGTTCTCTTTCCACGCCGGCTCTATTAAGGACGTCATCGTTTCGAACTCTATCCACCCAAGGTATGCGCATCATTCTTCTCAATGACCACATTTCAAATGCTTCGAGTTTGTTGATAGATGTTTTTTTCAAAGTCCACGTTTCCATGCCATAAAGCAAGATGGACCATATGTAGCACTTGACCATTCTGTAGCGTATTTCGAAGTTTAGGTGTTGATTACATAGGAGCGGTCTGAATTTCACAAAAGATTGTCTTGCCATTTGTATTCGGGTTTTTATATCGTGTTGTGGATCCGATTGGTCATTGATTGTGGTGCCAAGGTATTTAAAAGTTTTCACGCGATTTATACGATTGTCACCTATGCATAATATCGGGTTTTCTGGAGGGTTTCTGCTAATGACCATATATTTCGTTTTCAAAATGTTGATTTTGAGGCCATATTTTTTACCTATGCTATTCACCCTATCAAGTAATAACTGCTGATCTTCCAAATTATCAGTTATAATCACTGTGTCGTCCGCATAGCGTAGGTTGCTAATTGGTATGCCGTTCACCTTAATGCCTAATTCCGTATCTTCTAATGCTTCCGCAAATATATTTTCAACATATAAATTAAAAAGCATCGGAGAGAGTATGCAGCCTTGGCGGACACCTTTCCGGATTTCAAATTCATCCGTATATTGGTCTTGATCAATCCTCACCTTTGCCATTTGGTTCCAGTATAGATTCTGAATAATTCTGATCTCCTTCTGATCAATGTTGGCCCTATGTAGTAGTTCCATCATGATATCATGTTTAACATTGTCACATGCCTTCTCGTAGTCGATGAAGGTGAGGTAGACATATTTTCGTTGATCTAAGCAGTTTTGTATTAAGGTGTTCAAACATAAAATTGCCTCTCTTGTTCCTAGTCCTCCCTTAAAACCGAATTGTGTTGACCCGCTAAGTTCTTCTAGTATCTTATACATTCTTGAGTGTAATATCCTAAGGAAGAGTTTCAACAAGTGACTCATTAAACTGATTAAGCGGTGTTCATTGCATTTTGTGGCATTAGCTGTTTTTGGGATCATCACAAAGGATGACTGCCCAATCACTCCTAGACTTCCCTACACCTAATTTCGTACAATATAGCTGATCTTATGGCAGAGTTATAAAATTTTTCATCTAGTTTCAATAGAATATTACTCTCAGACAACACAGCACTCGATTTCTTCCACTTCATCTTCCTCTGCTCGTCTAGGTGCTGCGTTTGTATTTAGATGTTAACCTTCATGATGTTTACGAAATGAATGATGTTTTTTGTCTTTTCTACAATATTGATAGTGCCTGGTAGTCCCGTTGATTGTAGTCAGCCACCCACTGTCTAATAGATTGTTTAGTCTATTGTTGCGTTCATACTTTACGTCCACTTCAGTTGCTCTTAAACTAACACCCTAATTATTATAGACAGGTTTAAGTGTGAGATCTGGATTCTAGTTAAAATATTCTATATAATGCAATCTAGTTAAAATATTCTATATAATGTCATATTTCATCACTTGATTTCGTATAGTAGTGTCAGTTGGTGCTTTGGTTAATGCTTAGTTACATAGACTTTTGAAATATGAAGATCACATCTCCATGATTGTGACTGCCCATCCAATCTGTCATATGTCACATGTCACTTTAACATTTCCTTTAAAACCGGGAACCATTTTCTCTCCTGTTTCCGACTATAATGTAGCTTTGTCTATTTTTTAATTAATTTTAAACTGTTTGTCCTTGTGTAGTGTAGTGTTATACGTACAATTTTTTATTTTATGACATTCTGTGATTGTTGGATAGGCCAAAATTGACGAAGTAAGTCTAATACGTTAATCATATAAAAACTTTTATCAACCAATAACTTCAAGTTTTTGGTTGTTTTGTTTTTGTTCTTTAGCACTTAGTTGTGGTATACAAAATGTTCTTGAAAAAATTAAACTAATATTAAAGTTTATCTGACAAAAATGAAAAACCATACAAATACAAACTCAAACAAAAAATTAATTTTAAATATCTTGCAAAATATTTTATATTTGAGACAGTTTTAAATATTAATCTTAGTTATAAACTTATTTCAGTAACGTAATGAAAAAAAACGTTCAATGAAAAAATTCAAACGCCAGTTATTGTTTATTTTTCACACAGTAGCAGAGTGCTGCCAGTCTTCTATATATAAGCATGGGATTATGTTTGTATACAATATTAAAAATAACATTCGTAAGTCCTATGAACTGTTTGGTTCGTTGACATCAGGTGTCTCGTTTAATTTGTGTGACAACTCTCAAAAGTATTAAAGGAGAGTAATTCCCCGAGTTAATGAAGATGCCGATTATAAAGTCATACTTAATTTGTTAAAATAATCTTAAGTCATGCGTATATGATAAATATATATATATATATATATATATATATATATATATATATATATATATATATATTAGTCAGGCCGTGGAGTTTGTAACGATAATATTTTGTCTACCACATGGGGTAAGATTATGGTTGTAGAGAGGGCAAGCAATATAATCGCTACTTGTGCGAACGGCACTCAGGGTTTGGTAGGAGAGCTGGGGTCGAGGATAAGTAAAAGATAAGGGAGTTGGATTGGGGCAACTACAAAAAATAAAATAAAGTGGTCATTAATCTCTTGGGATAAACAAAATAATAATAAACAGGAAACACCTCAAGGAATTTAATATAGGGCGCCACTTAAGGTGCCTAATTATACCTATTACAACCACTAGTTGTAACTAGGGAAATAATTATAAAACATCGAAAACATATCTTTTTCAAACAGAACTAAAAAAGAGTTAGTTCAAAAAAAAATAAACAAAATGTTAAGAAAACAAAATTTAACATTTATTTTTGTGTCACCAAAAACAGTTACAACATGGAGAAATACAAGAATATATTATACAACATAATCCAAATTAATAAAAACTTACATGTTCTTCGTTTACATAAGAGATTGCTACAAAAATTTTAAATGGTTTCTACGTTATAATATGGCCAATTTAGATTATCAAAATTTTTTTTGGATATCCTTTTTATAAAAAATATTATTGAATTTAATCTTACATATGGAATATCTTTTATATAAAATAATCAAATTAAAATTGTCTTATAACAACAATGGATTAAAGCAAAATGTCATATGTCAACATAACAACTGGAGACAGATTAAATTATGACATTTTTATCTACGATAACATAATATAGAACTTTAATTATTACAAATTCTTTTACTTTAATGAAAGCAATTATTAAAATGTTCATATAACTTGGAAAAATAATACGAACGGAAAAAACGAAGACGATGTAGCAAACGAAAAAGGACTTTGAATATAAATACATGAAATATCCAAGGGTGGAGAACCAAGTCAGACGAAGTCATGGCAGAAGTAAAATAAATAAAATCAGATATCACGGTTCTTACCGAAACAAAGAAAAAATGCCAAGGTAGAGAAGACATAGGAGGTTTTATACATAGTTATAGTGGAGTAGAGAAAGTCAAAAGAGCACAAGCAGGGGTATCAATATTGATAAAAAAGATTTAAAAGGAAACCTGAAAAGCTGGGAGCAGATCAATGAGAGAATTATTAGAGTATCTATTACGTGGAAAGGGCACGACCTCGAGATCATTGGAATATGTGCTCCGTCAGAAAATGCATCAAAAGTAGGTAAACAGATATTCTACGAAACTTTATCGGAACTCATTGAAAATATAAATAGCCCCAACGAAATTGTGCTGTTGGGAGATTTTAACGCTTGGACAGGAACAAAAACAAATGACAAAGTCGTAGGAAAATATGGTGACGCTAAAACAAATGAAAATGGGGAACACTTAATCGAATTCTGTGAACATCACTCTCTGAAAATCCTAAACGGATTCTACCAACATAAAAACATACATAAGTACACCTGGGTTCAACCAACGAGAAACATAAAGTAAATTATAGATTATGTCATCACAAAACAATAAACACACATACAAGTTGAAGACATAAGAGTATTAAGAGGACCGGACTGCGGAACTGACCACTATATGGTAAGATCAAAATGTTATCTACAGTATCGACCTCTGCTACTATATCAAAATGACAACCAACTAGCTTAATCAAAACCCCTGGAATCAAATCTAACTAAATACAATATTGATGCACTGCAAAACGACATCATTCTTATATAAGCTGCGACTTAGCCAAAAAATTGGCAAACCTGATCCACTCCTCAGCCCAGAATACCTATAAAGAGATAATCAATAAAATCAATTAAGCAGCTTACGAAGCGCTCGGCACAATTCAAAAGAACAACAAGAATACTCCATTGTTGTAGACAAATGACATCGCCAATGAAGTACACAACAAGAAACAATCATATCAAAAGTGGCTGC